ATCTTATAGTGAGGGTTAGCAGAATACAAAAGGTATATATTCAATAACGAAGAGTTACAAACCAAGAGGGACATACATTCAGTATACCATTCATTTAATTGATACCATTTCATAAATGAGCAGGCTGTTGCTGTGTCAAATCGGCATCCTCTGGCCCAGTGCCAGGCAGTCCTGTTCAGTGTGAGGTGGGGGAGAAGGAGGGAGAAATTCCTGCTGCTGCATGCTGCCAGTTGCTCTCTGAAGAACGTCTAGTTAGTCCCAGCTGAACTAGCAGAGTTTGTGCACATGAAAAATGACTGCTGGTCCAAGCAAGTCACACTCTTTAGATGGGAAGAAGACCGGTTTATTCCTGATGTAGCACTAGTTCTGAATACTAAGATTCAGCTGTTGACAGTTCTGACCGTAGTTCACTCGTTGATCAGGCAAGCATTTGCAGTGGGGTACCAGCAGTTCAAAATTCTTGCTGCTGGGCTAACCTCAGGCAGATCCTTTGGATATGCGCAAGGGACCTCTGTTCTCGACTCTTAGAACAAAGTAAAGTCCTGGCACTCAGACACACTGGCCGTCACGTGATTGTCCGAGATGAGTCTAAGAATGTCCTGGAGGGGCAACTTCTGGGCCCTGTGCTGCCTCTTTTATCCGGAGGAACTAGGGTTGTTCATTGGTTTAACCCACGTGGGGTTACCCTGCCCTACTAGTTCCTGTTTGGCTGATTGAGGTGGAGGATTAGTAACAATGCTCTCTGACATTAGGATTATAAACAACCTGGGATAAGACTCTCCCTTGGAATCTCCCAGACAGTAAGGAGCCAGAGATAACCATTCATTAGGGTGGCTGGAGAATCTCAGCCTTGTTCCTTATCAGGAAACTCTATCAGATAGGAAAACACCTTAAATCTGAACTAAATGGAATGGCCTCTCTGTGTCCAGCACCACTGAGATGAGGGAGAGAGGGACCGGCAAGTGAGCAGAAAACTTAATTCCTGTATTATTAATAAGCCTTGCTGCTACATAAGCATTCCTGACTTTTTATATATTTTTTCATATTTTCTCTTTGTTTGTTTTTTTTTTGCTTTGAATGTGTGGAGTAGATATACACATATGTGCACATTTCAAATATCAATTGTGATTTCAAAGTTTCATGACTGCAAGTTTTAAAGCATCAAAATATGAAAATGGTGCAGGAGTCTAAAGACATTTGTGAGACACTATAAGATCTAGTATAACCATCCTCTTCAGTGTTGATAACAATGTCCACTGTATAGTACTGACATTCACAGTAATTAGTATACTGTATACTGTAATTATGTAGCAAGGTGACAAAAGTAGAACATATTCCTCCCAAGACTGGATTTTTATACAGTAACTCAAAACATGTGCATGCTGTTAAAATAAAAAGAAAATAACAGTTACCCATTTAAGAATGTCATACTGTAAATATTATTTTGTTGCTGGGCTAAGCAAATTTGATTACCTTTTCTAAATCTGCCAATAACAAAGTGCTCACTTCAGGACTAAGACAGAACCATATAAAGTAGATCATTAACTGACGGAGAAATTGATTAACTCCACTGCACTGTTTAAAAGTCCATTATGCTCTGATTGAAGACTGAAAGTTCTCTTCCTCCAGTGTGTTGTTTCTGGGTTGCTGCTTCTCAGTGCCTTACTACAGTGGAATAGACACATTTGTCAGTAAATTCTGCTTTCTGTGCCAGTTTATGAGGGTATTTGTCGTGTTTCACAGTGGCATAAAACACAAAACTCTCTTCTTCCCCCAACTGCTGTGGAGATGAAAAAAAAAGAAAAACATATTGCAGACATACAAAACGTTTCAGTAATTCACTGACACAAAAACGCTATGCATTTAATTAACACTAAAAGCAGATAGGGTCTGAAATTATATAAAACATAATACTGAAACACATATTTACCAATAAGTTTCTGCTCCTCTAGATATTTAGCTGCTCCATTCAATATTTGAATGACAATATTTTAGCAGAACATATTGGATTTACACTACATGATTATCTGCTTACCATTGAAGTCTGATGTTCTTTATTGATGGTCTCATCTTTTAGAATAGGAAAAAGCAGAAAACATGAAAAATACAGTTAGGTATTCAGTAATGGATGTAGATTTGTGACACACTGTATGTACTGTAAATGTGATAATTGATATTACAAATTTCTGTCTATGTTCTCATTCTTCACACATACTTACAGACAGCACAATTAGAATAGTTTCCATGTTGTTCCGAAGCCCTACAAAATAGCAGAACTGAGTAATTAAACTTATATATTACATCTGTTGGCATCTGTTCTCAAGGTACAAGCCTCCAGACTAGGTTGTCATAAAAATATGAAAAAACTATTTAGTAAAAACTATTTTACCTGATTTAATATGGATAGTTACAATAGTAAACAGATTTTTGGTGATAAAACAGTACATGAAGCATTCTTTTGACAGTTCTGATGATGTTGTGGCCTTCAACGATCACTTTAAAAGTCCTTCTAGAAGCAGACAATTTTGTAAATCTATTGTTTAAATCATGAGTGAGACATTAATGGTAAGAGCTAACCCAGAAATATGTCATGTCAATACATTTACAACACAGCAGACACTGTTCTTAACACAGAACACAGAATGAATGATGAATAAAAGAAGTGCTGTCTCACCTTCTACTGTCCCCTTTGTTCCTCTCTGCAAAACAAATATTTTGAGTGTGAAATGCAATTCAGAGCAGAACCCCCACACTTTCTGATTAAATACATTTTTCTCCATTTAAATGGCATTCATATATTTTTAATCTAAATTTCACATCTACAATTGCAAATTATTATTACAATCATATAATTGTAACCATGTGTAATTACTGTATCTATTATTTTAACATTGATCTATACTGACCTTCATCACCTTCACTTTCACCTTTCCTAAACCTGATCATTCCATATTAGAATGTAATTCACTCATTTCTTTATTTCTTGCCATTGTTTTCTCAGCCTTCAAAAATAATGTGAATTATCTGAATAAGTTGTGCTCTTTTATAATATGGCCCTGTTTTAAGCAGAAGAAGCCTGTTTTTTTCTATGTGTACTTAATCAATACACATAGCAAGTATTAAATGTAGCATGTTCAATAGTATTGAAGTGTATTGATGTACCCAAGGTAACTTAATTATGATAACAGTTCAGGTGGGTAGCTGCGTCAGCATGCGTAGGCTGCAAAGGAACAAGTAATAGGTTTATTCCATGCTGAAAAAAAGAAGAAAGAGAACACAACGTTTCGGCCGTGGAGCCTTCTTCAGGTGTGAGACCTTCAGGTGTGTCACACCTGAAGAAGGCTCCACGGCCGAAACGTTGTGTTCTCTTTCTTCTTTTTTTCAGCATGGAATAAACCTATTACTTGTTCCTTAATTATGATAACTATGCATCATGTTGAAAGCTGCAGAAATTACTCTTGGAGATAGAGAAGTTGTAAAACAGTGGCGGGGTTCGATGTGTTTCCCTGTGCCTTTACAGTAGGAAGGTCTCCTAAACTTAAACCAAAGCACAAGTATTTTAACAGAATCAAAACTTAATGTAAAAAAATAATTTTACATTTTCCAGTATCCTGTTTCTTATCTACTCATAATGCCATCCTTCTTTTCCAGTTTAAGGAAACAGTTTGTGATTTAGTTCAAGTACTGTAGGTAGTTGTGTCAGAATGCGTAGGCTGCAAAGGAACAAGTAAAGTTTTATTCCATGCTGAAAAGTGAAGAAGGCAAACACAACTTTTTAGCTGACACACACCCGAAGAAGGCTCAACAGCCGAAATGTTCTTTTCTTTTCAGCATGGAATAAACCTTTACTTGTTCCTTTGCAGTTTGTGATTTAGCCTACTTAAATACCATATGCAGGTGTTTTCCAAGTGTATACTGTAAGAAAAGAATAGTCTTTTCCTGCCACCCAGAGATTTTTGGGACTAGTATTTGGCCTTTAAACTGTACCTTCATTTCTCTTCCTTCTAATTATGACCCAGCGCATAAGGGTATTACAAGATATAGTACTTCTCCTTTCACCTTTTGCATATGTTCCTTGTATACTGTTATCTGTAAGATTGACATTTATAGAAATAAATGCAGAACCATATTTTTTTATTTCGTGGTCTGCTGTGTGTTTCATGGAACTTGTGTTTGCAGTGTTAATCAATTCCTTTGCCTTCTTTACAATTAAGGTGTTAAAGTAGCTTATTTTCTGTTTCTTGTCCTGTAGAATCACAGGAAGCTTCAGCAACCACCTACTGTAGATAATTGCTTTCAATTTACAAAGAGAATTTAATTCAGATCTTATGGAAAGAAGTACAATTGTTCCAAGGAAACTACAGCACATTTTCAAGTCAGCAGAAATGTTGAAGCCAGAATAAATCAGAACACTATTAATGCATAAAAGACTAACTCACTGTGTTTGAAGAAGCAGAATGTCAGAACTATAGCAGCCACAAGAAATAATAATCCACCACTTACAATCCAGATTAAATGATTATCTGGTTGTCCTGAAAGGAGGAAAAGCCAGAATGAATCAAAGAATCAATAGAACTTATAATGCATATGTATAATGAAAGAGTTCCGTCTGTGATAGCATCACTCAGGAGGCCTTTGCATACAAACCAATGCATCACTACAGAATTATCCTATAAATCCAGAAGAATTTGTAGCTCCATTTAAAAGAAAGAACAAAAAAAATTAACTCACTTAGAAAACATTAAACAACCTGTGAATCTTTCTCGAAAAGCTAATGTTACATACCCAATAGCAAATCTCTTCTAACCCAGGGTGGTCTACTGTCAAACCCTTTTTGTCTAGTCTTCTTTGACATACAGGTACTAATCATACTAACAACATACTGTACTAAGCCCATTATATCCAAAAGCAAACCCGGGTGACAATTCCAAGCAATTAAGCAAGTGAACATATGTAAGACTACTTACATAGTTCTTCTGTTTTTTTGTTCTTATGCTCTTATGTATTTATATGTGTACAGTAGGTTCTCATACACTTATGATCATGTATTCTTGTGTTCTGATGGTCTCATGTTCCTATTCTATGTCCTATATCCTTCTGGATGACTGGTATTCATTATACCCATCTTTCTCAGGTACTCTCCACTTCAAGCAGAATTGTATATTACCACTCAACTGAAAATGGAACAGAAAACATAACAGAAAGATTTACAGATTCAACAATGTGTGTTGCTTAAAATAGTTCTAAAACATACTTTGAAAACCCTTAATATTGTTTATGTACAGACCATATTTGTAACTCATACTGTAATTGAAGTCAAGAAAACTCAGGATTTCTCAGGGTTTATTCATGCCTCTCTAGTTAGTATTTTGTAAATGCTCATCTGTATAAGGAATCCAAATGGTGAGATCTGAGGATCCTATGCAGACAAAGGAGAATGTAGATACTAAAGCAGGTGTCCAATCCAAAACATTAGGCGGGTTCATAGTCAAAAGGCAAAAAGTAGTTAGAAAGCTGAGAGATACTGAAACAGGCGTCCGAACCAAAATGTAAGGCAAGTTCGTGGTGGAAAGGCAAAAGGAAGTTCAGAAGCCGAAAGAGGTATCGCTAGAATATTTC